AAATTCGTATCAATAGGAATATATATGCTTTGGTGCCCCATTTACCTTAAATGGGACGGAACACGTTGAGTCTGAGTTGAGTATATATATATATATATATATAGACTTTGGTGGGAGCTATATTTAAATCTGAACCGATTTTCATCAATTTCAATAGAGTTCGTCCTTGGGTCAAACAAATGAGCTGTACAAAATTCCATCCAAATTAGATTATAAATGCGACATGTACTTTGTTTACAATTTAACATCAACAGACGGACGGACATACATAAATCGAAAGTGATTCTATGCATATTCTCAAAAGGAGCCATGGGTCTATCTCGATTCCTTTTGCCTGTTACAAAGATATGCACAAAGACCTATTAACCTGTAGGGTATGAAAAATAAAAATTAAAAACGACCCAGCCCAACTTTTTATACTCTCCATCAAGATGATGACAATATCTAAAATTAATCGGGCTCTTAGGAGAAAACTTAAGTTATGATAGGGCTTTGAAAATACCGAAAAATACGTGAGAAAAACATGATTGAAGTTCTTAAAATATATAATAGATCGACTACCGTTTTGGTAGTGAGATTTGTCAGCCAATGTGAATACAAAATACCAAATCACAGCCAATTCGATTGAGAAACATGTTCAAAATTCTCCAAAATAACGTCTTGGGTCATTACTAACCCAAACAGCAAATTACTGCCATTTTGATTGAAAAATGTGTGACAGTACGGAAATGATGTTTATGTGCTATATAATGAGAACTTAAAATACCAAATTACAGCTAATTCGGTGAAAAAATGTGTCCAAAATCCCCAAAATACTGACCGTGGACCGATATATCCCATTTGCAATATCAAACATTCTAGCAATATCTGTGTAAAATTTCAGAGCTCTCTCTTAAATATTGCGATCTCTATCGTAATTTCAATAGGCGGACAAACAGTCAGATTATCATTCTTAAATTGACATAGAATTTTATTCTGATCAAGAATATATATAGTTTGTGGGGTTTCCGAGGAGAGGAGAAACGTATTTTCAGAAAAAAGAAGAAAGAAGAAGAAAAACGTTAACGGAAGTAAATCGAGATATAGAGGAGCCAGAACGAAGTCAGGCAATTGTACCATCGAGTAAAACAACGAACCGCAGGCTTTGGTGCATGTACATCCTCCTATAGAGATGGAGATGGAAACCTGTTGACAGATACAGTCAGCGTTTTGAGGATCTGGAAGGAGTATTCTGAAAAACTTCTGGTATCAAATAGTGGCGGTGATGATGAGACCCCAGAAGCAATAAGAGATGACGGGATAGATTACCACCTAGCCAAGATGAGGTCAGAATAGCAATTATTCGGCAGAAGAATAATAAAGCAGGATCATGAACCAACTGATTAGTACAATTTGGCTTGGTGAATGCATGGCCAATAATTGGAACCTCAGCACCCTCTGTACCGTGTACAAAAAAGGAGACAATACGATATGTGCCAACTATAGAGTAATTATTCTCCTTCCCATCGCATACAAAATGATATGAATGACTGAAACCAATGGTCAAGGACATTATTGGACCATACCTCTCCATGAAAAACACTTCTACTATGAAGCCGCATTTGTCAGCTCAATCCGCTCAGAGGTGTTTTAAGCCATGTCTGCTTTTAGCATCCCAGCAAAATTAATACGACTATGCAGGATAACTTTAACTGGCATAAGGTTAGCAGTTAAAGTCGAAAAGAACCTCTCGAATCCCTTCAATGCCGAGCGTGGATTCAGACAAGGTGACAGTTGTCGTGTGTCCTGTTTAACATTCTGCTGGGAAAAATTATACGAGAGACAAAGATGAAATGGAAATGACACTCTGTACACCAAACAATACATGTTACTCGCCTACGCCAATGACATCGACATAATGTATCGAACATTACAAGCGGTAACATCTACCTTTGAACAAATTGAGGAGGAGTCTACAAAGTGTTAATGGCAAGAAGATCAATATGCAATATGCGCAAGACGTCCAGTAGACTCGGACCAACTTATGGAACAAGCTTTCTGACACAATGAATATTTCGAGGCGTTGCAAACGGAATGACAAATTTAATATACACTCCACCTAATGGTGGAGGGTTAAAATAGTTTTAGAGCCAGTGTTGACAAATTGGGGACGACTTCTTCTTTATAAAAACGACTTCTTCTTTATAAAAAAACGATTCTTCAACGCACAAATCTCGTATTGCACATAATGGCATTTATAACGACACCGATTTTGACGACTTATTGCTTATAACGAAGGTATCAAACTGTCCCGAAGTTAGTTCTTATAGCTACCACTTTCGCCGGTTGGTTGGTAGTTATAAGAGATTTCGACTGCAGTTGTCCACACAAAATAGGAGTACATTTGAGCATTTATGGGCCCTACTGGAACAAGTTTCAGACTTCTCCCAAAAATCTCCTATTTATCATTTACAGGCTTAGAGGCAATTTCCCCTACGTAGTCTTGGAATCGATGCCAAAGCGTTCAGTAGGCTAATGGAAAATTTTCAATTTCTTGTTTACAGATCGATTGGATTTTTTATTACTGTTGTTGTTTTCTTTCGATCTGATTGCATTTGTCGTCGTTATATAAAAATGACATTTTAATTAACAAAGAAAAGGTTTTCCATTGCAGTGGAAAGTTTTATATTTGATATTGATAATGTCTGATAATTTTCCACAAAAGATGATGCAATTTTGTTTAAATATTGCATCATCTTTGAAAGCGGGCAATATATCCGAATTTGTATATTCAAACTTATGGCTAATGAGGGTCTATACACAAAAATGTGTTTCATCATGGCATTAATTTGTTTGACCAATGTTTCTTTGAACCAAATCGCGTTCGGGTAATTTGGGGACGATTTACAAATATCCGTCCGTCTGTAGATGTTAAATTGTAAACAAAGTACAGGTTGCATTACCTATTTGGACCAAGGACGAACCCTATTGAAATTGGGAAAAATCGGTTCAGATTTAGATATAGCTCCCATATATATTTTCGTCCGATTTAATGTAAACGGTCCCTATATATCTTTTGATTTGCACGAAATTTGGCACAGCGTAATGAATTAGGTCTAGAATGATGTGTGTAAAATTTCATAAAAATCGGTTCAGATTTAGATATAGCTCCCATATATATTTTCGTTCGATTTAAGGTAAATGGGGCACCAAAGTCCCTCTATATCTTTCGATTTGCATGAAATTTGGCATAGAGCACTAAATTAGGTGCAGAACGATGGGTGCCAAGTTTCGAGAAAATCGGTCCAGATTTAGATATAGCTCCCATATATAGTTTCGTCCGATTTAAGGTAAATAGTACACCAAAGACCCTATATATCATTCGATTTGCACGAAATTTTGCATAGAGTACTGAGTTAGGTCCAGAATGATGTATGCCAAGTTTCGAGAAAATCGGTTCAGATTTAGATATGGCTCCCATATATAGTTTCGTCCGATTTAAGGTAAATGCTACACCAAAGTCCCTATATATCATTCGATTTGCACGAAATTTGGCATAGAGTACTGAATTAGGTCCAGAATGATGTGTGCCAAGTTTCGAGAAAATCGGTTCAGATTTAGATATAGCTCCCATATATAGTATTTTTCCGATTCTATGTAAATGGTGCACCAAAGTTCCTATATACCTTTCGATTTGCATGAAATTTTGCACAGCGTACAGAATTAGGTCCAGAATGATGTGTGCCAAGTTTCGAGAAAATCGGTTCAGATTTAGATATAGCTCCCTTATATAGTTTCGTCCTTTTTAAGGTAAATGGTGCACCAAAGTCCCTATATATTTTTCGATTTCCACGAAATTTGGCATAGCGTACTGAATTAAGTCTAGAATTATAAGGCTAGAATGACGTGTGCTAAGTTTCGTGAAAATCGGTTTAGGTTTAAATATTTTATGTAATTGGTGCACCAAAGTCCCTATATATCTTTCGATTTGCACGAATTTAAGTATAGAGTACTGAATTAAGTCTAGAATGATGTTGCAAAGCTTCGTGAAAAGATCCATAGCTAGGCCGATTGGCACAACGTACTGATGTAATATAAATTAGTCTCTGGCAAGTTTCCCCGAAAGCGGTTCAGATATAGATATATAGCAAAAACGCGTCGACTGTTAGGATACATATGTAGAATATACCCAAAGTGGTGAAGGGTATCATATAGTCGGCCCAGTCAGACTTTACTACTTTTCTTATTGGTTTCAATATATTCCACACAAAGGGTCACAATCTTACGGAGCTGCAGGAATCTCCATTGCCGTACATACATCGTAGTATTTTTAAATAACCTAGATTAATTCCGAAAAAGGATCCTCATCAGTCCACTACTCCTGGACATTTCCCCGACGAATTATCGGCACTTTAAGTCAAATAACATAAGCTGGAGTGTCCAATTTGTTCCAAACGTTGTAATATTTTTTATTAAATAAAGATCAAGTCCTAAGGTGGTACCCATCGGTCCACCCATTCTGGTACCTCTCCCACAATGTGTCAAAATTTTGAAAACCTGTAAGTCAAATATAAGCCCATATGAACTAAAAAAATGGTACCCATTGGCTCACTCCTTCTTCCCCCGTACCCCCTCAAAAAAGAGTTAATTTTCCATAAGATTTCTTTAACGATTTCAGAACGTGTAGCGTAATAAAAAACCATTCACCATGATTATCGCACCACAGTTGGGGGTATTAACTGACCTGATGAGACTTCTGGAAACCATTTTGCAAATTACATTGTCAATTACATTACATGGAAGCTTGAGATGATAACAATTCATCCATGATTGAAATGTTCCCATATCTGCTATGGCAAACGTAAAATCGAACGTCTCCGATAAGAAGTGAAGAAGGCCTAAGTGCATCGTTGCTATAAAAGCAACTGGAATCTACGGTAAACTTCAGTTGAATCCTCAGCTCTTTTGAAGAATCAAGTTGAAATTAAAGTTTTCTTTCCGATTGATTTTAAGCAGCCAACATGGGTCACGATGAAACTGTGCTGAATGACAAACGGACCCAGGTTCCGTATGTTTCCAATTCCATGTTGAGTGGCAACATGAAGGAGATTTACAAGGCCATGAAGAAAACTCGTAAAATGCAGAAAATGTTGCAAAATTTAATGGGAGATTTGAATGAAGAAATGCATTATCGGGACCGTCACGGCAAGCAAGGACATCATGGACGTCGTCATCGTTCTCGATCACGCTCCGTCTCATCAACAACAAGCACAAGTAGTAGTGGTAGCAGTGTAACTAGCCGTTCAAGATCACGCTCCCATTCAAGGGGTCGTCATGACCGCAGTAAAATGCGCCATGGAAATCGTTCGCATTCTCATGATCGCCATGGTCATAGAATGCGTTCACGCTCGCGTTCTCGTTCGGTGTCAGTGGATCGTCATGGTCATCGTCTACGTCGTGTTAGTCGCTCTCGTTCCCGTTCATTGTCCTGGGGACGTCTCGGCAAGGGTCGTCATCGTTCACGCTCTGTATCCTGGGGACGTCATCATGGTCATGGTAGACATCGTTCCCGTTCTCTGTCGTGGGAACGAAACGGCAAAACTTTAAGACATCATCATGGCCACCGTATTCGTTCACGTTCCCGTTCGTTATCATTGGATCATCATGGACATCGTATACGTCGTCATTTGAGCCATTCTCGTTCGCGTTCAATGTCCTGGGGACGCCATCATGGTCATCGGAGACATCGTTCCCGTTCCGTGTCTTCGCGACGTCATGGTCACGGAAGACGTCATTTGAGCCATTCTCGTTCCCGTTCAATGTCCTGGGGACGACATCACGGTCATCGGAGACATCGTTCCCGTTCCGTGTCTTTGCGACGTCATGGTCACGGAAGACGTAATTTGAGCCATTCTAGTTCCCGTTCAATGTACTGGGGACGACATCACGGTCATGGTAGACATCGTTCACGTTCCGTGTCTTCGCGACGTCATGACGTGTCCTGGAATCGACATGGAAAACGTTGGCGTCGCATCAGCCGTTCTCGTTCTCTATCTGTGGGTAGGCACCATGACCATGGTAAGCGCCATATGAATCGTTCACGCTCCCGTTCTTTATCTGTGGGACGTCATGTTCACCGCCGGCACCACTTGAGTCGATCCCGCTCGATTTCTTTGGATCGTTATGGCCATCACCATCGTCATTTGGGAAGCAATCACTTGAGCCGCTCTCATGGACATCACCGGCGTAGCGTTAGTCGTTCTCGATCTACATCCCCTCATCGTCGTCATGGACATCATCACATGTATCACGATAGGAAATCATCCAAATGGATGAAACATGGAAATCTTAGTTCCTCAACTTCGACATCCGGCACCAGCAGCAGCAGCAGTGATAGCAGTTCTGAGAATGAATTACATTTGGATCGTCATGCTATGCGAAAAATCCTAAGAAACCCTGATTGCCCTTGGATGAAAGGAAATGTTGTCAAATGTTGCGGCAAACGTTGGCTCATGAATCCCATGATGATGCAAAATCCTTGGATGATGATGATGGACAATCCAATGATGATGATGCCTTTGAAGAAAACACACCATGGCAAAGGTTCGCATCACCGCAAATAAACATCGATCGGTTACAGAAAGTATCATGGTATAATAACGATTATATATTCTCAATATACTCACATTATAATCTCAAATTATTTTGATATATTAATCAGCAATAAATATTAAAAAATCATATTCATTGAATTTTAAAATATCCTTAAAAAATTCAAGCCTTGTAAGAGGTCCCAAGAAATATTCTTTAAAAAAATTCACATTGGTAGGGGTTCGGGAAAATATTCGGTAAAAAATCCAAACCTTGGTAGGGGTTCGGAAAAATATTTTCGTGCAAATCGAAAGATATATAGGGACTTTGGTACACCATTTACCTTAAATCGGACGAAAATATATATGGGAGCTATATCTAAATCTGAACCGATTTTTCACACAATTTAGACCTAATTCATTACGCTATGCCAAATTTCGTGCAAATCGTCTTTGGTCCTTGGGCCAATTAAGTGGCCTGTGCCAAATTTCATCCAAATCGGATCATAAATTCGACCTGTACTTTGTTAACAAAAATACATGGACGGACAGACGGACATGCATAAATCGACTCAGGAAGTGATTCTATGCATGTTCTCAAAAGGAACCATGGATCTATCTCGATTATTTTTGCCTGTTACAAACATATGCACAAAGACATAATACCCTGTACCACAGTGTGGCGAAGGGTATAAAAAATCCACGCCTTCTTGGAGGTTCCAAAAATATTCCTTAAACCAGTAAGGAAAGTAGTAAAGTCGGACGGGGCCGACTATATGATACCCTTCACCACTTTGAGTATATTCAACAGATGAATCCTAACAGAGGTCGCATTTTTAAAGGAGCAGTAAAATGAAATTGGAACCATAAACACGTCATTCTGCAACCGATAATAAATTGTTCATTTGGTCAGATATAGAAGCTATATCTAAATCTGAACCGATTTTTAGGAAACTTTACACACATCATTCCAGACCTAATTTGCTACGCTGTGCCAAATTTCGTGCTTAAATCGACTCAAAAAGTGATTCTAAGCATATTCTCAAAAGGAACCATGGGTCTATCTCGATTATTTTTGCATGTTACAAACATATGCACAAAAACATAATACCCTGTACCAGAAAAAAGAATTTGGTTCAAGAACCTCATAACCTGGGGGCTACCAGAAAAAATTGACCAATATTTATAATTTATAGTGAAGTAATTTGGTACCCAATAAGAACCCAATGTACAAAATTTCAGCGAATTCAGTTGTAAAACGAGCCCAAAACCCGAAAATACCGAAAATTGGGGGTGCCCTTATATGGGGGCTTTCCGAAAAAATGGACCTTTATTTATAATGTTTGGTAGGGAGATTTGCTACCCAATAAGAACACAAAGTACCAAATTTCAGCGAATTCGGTCGAAAAATACGATCAAAACCCCCAAAATACCGAAAATTGGGGGTAATCTTATATGGGGGCTATCCGAAAAAATGGACCTTTATTTATAATTTTTGGTAGGGAGATTTGCTACCCAATAAGAACTCAAAGTACAAAATTTCAGCGAATTCAGTTCAAAAACGCGCTCAAGAACCTCAAAATACCGAAAATTTGGGGGTACCCTTATATGGGGGCTATGCGAAAAAATGGACCGTTATTTATAATGTTTGGTAGGGAGATTTGCTACCCAATAAGAACACAAAGTACCAAATTTCAGCGAATTCGGTCGGAAAATGCGATCAAAACCCCCAAAATACCGAAAATTGGGGGTAATCTTATATGGGGGCTATCCGAAAAAATGGACCTTTATTTATAATTTCTGGTAGAGAGATTTGCTACCCAATAAGAACTCAAAATACCAAATTTCAGCGAATTCAGTTAAAAAAACGCGCTCAAGAACCTCAAAATACCGAAAATTTGGGGGTACCCTTATATGGGGCTATGCGAAAAAATGGACCGTTATTTATAATTTTTGGTAGGGAGATTTGCTACCCAATAAGAACACAAAGTACCAAATTTCAGCGAATTCGGTCGGAAAATGCGATCAAAACCCCCAAAATACCGAAAATTGGGGGTAATCTTATATGGGGGCTATCCGAAAAAATGGACCTTTATTTATAATTTCTGGTAGAGAGATTTGCTATCCAATAAGAACTCAAAATACCAAATTTCAGCGAATTCAGTTAAAAAAACGCGCCCAAGAACCTCAAAATACCGAAAATTTTGGGGTACCCTTATATGGGAGCTATGCCTAAACGTGGACCGATTTTCTCCAATTTCAATAGGGTTCGTCCTTGGGCCAATTAAGTGACCTGTGCCAAATTTCATCCAAATCGGATTATAAATGCGACCTGTACTTTGTTAACAAAAATACATGGACGGACGGACGGACGGACGGACAGACGGACGGACAGACGGACATGCATAAATCGACTCAGAAAGTGATTCTATGCATATTCTCAAAAGGAACCATGGGTCTATCTCGATTATTTTTGCCTGTTACAAACATATGCACAAAGACATAATACCCTGTACCACAGTGTGGTGAAGGGTATAAAAAACCACGCCTTGATAGAGGTTCCGAAAAAATAGTCGTTAAAAAATCCAAGCCTTGGTTGAGGTTCCAAAAAAATTGTTTAAACCAGTAAGAAAAGCAGTAAAGTCGGATTGGGCCGACTATATGATACCCTTCACCACTTTGGGTATATTCCTCATTGTATCCTAACAGACGTCGCCTTTTCGAAGGAACATTGAACAAACTTAAATATGTGATCTTTATTTATATGCAAACTTAGCACACATCGTTCTAGACTTAATTCAGAACGCTATGCCAAATATCGTGGGAGCTATATCTAACTCTGAACCGATTTTCCCCAATTTGTGCCAAATTTCATCCAAATGGGATCATAAATGCGACCTGTACTTTGTTTAAGATTTAACGGACAGATGGACGGACATACATAAAATCGACTCAAAAGGAACCATGTTTCAAAAAATATTCGTTAAAAAATCAACGTCTTGTTAGAGGTTCTAAAAAATATTAGTTAAAAAATATTGACAATCAGTAAGGAAAGTAGTAAAGTCGGACGGGGCCGACTATATGATACCCTTCACCACTTTGGGTATAATAAACAGGGCTATTATAATGAAATTGTATAAAATAAAATATGTGATATTTATTTAAATGGGGAACGACCTAGATCTATCCATAAACATGTCATTCGTTTGTTACAATGGGACAAAAGTATGTAAATCGACTTCAAACAAATATGAATAGGTCATCCGTTGGGCTTTGTCTGTACTTCTAGAAAACGCAGCTACGTAATTCTATGCTCATTTTCGTACGTTGTGCAAAATTTGATGCCATTCTGAATTTACTTAAAATCGGACGAATATATATATTTATATATATGGAAGCTATATCCACATATGAACCGATTTCAATGAAACTTGTCACAAGTTACTTTATACTAATTTTAGTACGTTTTGTTCCTATCAGCCATATAATGGTTCATTGGTGCGTCAATTACTTAAAATCAATCTATAATATAAGGTAGCTACATCTAAATCTCAACGATTTTCACGAAACTTGACACATCATACTGACTTAAATTCAGTATGCTACGCAACATAAGAACTTTGTACGCTATACCATATTTCGTGCAAATCAAACATTATATGTGGACTTTGGTGCACCATTTACATGAAATCGGACGAAACTATATATGGGAGCTATATCTGAATCTCGACCGATTTTCACGAAACTTGGCAGACATCACTCTAGGCTCAGTTCAGTAAGTTATGCCAAATTTCGTGAAAATCGAAAGATATATAGGGACTTTGGTGTACCATTTACATGAAATCGGACGAAACTATATATGGAAGCTATATCTAAATCTGGATCGATTTTCACGAAACTTGGCAGACATCACTCTAGGCGCAGTTCAGTACGTTATGCAAAATTTCGTGCAAATCGAAAGATATATAGGGACTTTGGTGCACCAAATACATGAAATCGGACTAAACTAAATTTGGGAGCTATATCTAAATCTGGACCGATTTCCGTGAAATTTGGCAGACATCACTCTAGGCTCAATTCAGTACGTTATGCCAAATTTCGTGAAAATCGAAAGATATATAGGGACTTTGGTGCACCATTTACATGAAATCGGACGAAACTATATATGGGAGCTATATCTAAATCTGGACCGATTTTCACGAAACTTGGCAGACATCACTCTAGGCGCAGTTTAGTACGTTATGCAAAATTTCGTGCAAATCGAAAGATATATAGGGACTTTGGTGCACCAAATACATGAAATCGGACTAAACTATATTTGGGAGCTATATCTAAATCTGGACCGATTTCCGTGAAATTTGGCAGACATCACTCTAGGCTCAATTCAGTGCGTTATGCCAAATTTCGTGGAAATTGAATGATATATAGGGACTTTGGTGTACCATTTACATGAAATCGGACGAAACTATATATGGGAGCTATATCTACCGATCCGATTTTCACGAAACTTGGCAGACATCACTCTAGGCTCAGTTCAGTAAGTTATGCCAAATTTCGTGAAAATCGAAAGATATATAGGGACTTTGGTGTACCATTTACATGAAATCGGACGAAACTATATATGGAAGCTATATCTAAATCTGGACCGATTTTCACGAAACTTGGCAGACATCACTCTAGGCGCAGTTCAGTACGTTATGCAAAATTTCGTGCAAATCGAAAGATATATAGGGACTTTGGTGCACCAAATACATGAAATCGGACTAAACTATATTTGGGATCTATATCTAAATCTGGACCGATTTCCGTGAAATTTGGCAGACATCACTCTATATCGAAAGATATATAGGGACTTTGGTGCACCAAATTCATGAAATCGGACGAAATTATATATGGGAGCTATATCTAAATCTGGACCGATTTCCATGAAACTTGGCAGACATCATTCTAGACCTAAATGATTAGGCTGTACCAAATTTCGAAAGATATATAGGGATCGTTTACATTAAATCGGTAAAATATATATATGGGAG